CAAAGGACAGAGCAGAGTTTAGGGCTGTGTTGTACATAGGGTCGCTATGAGTCGCAAGCAACTCGACGGCACATAACAACAACAACAACAACAATTCCTCAGGTAAAGAGATGAGACTGAAAAGAATACTAGTCAGTTTTGAGTTCAAACTCAAACTCTGCTATTTACGAGCTGTGTGACTTTCAGCAAATTCCTTCATCCTCCTACATTTCAGTTTCCTTTCTGTAAAAAAGCAGTTAATATGGCTTCAAGGATAAATTATGAGGATTTACTACATGCTGACAGGTTAAGGGGGAGGAGGGGAGAGATAGCTTCGAGAAAAACTTGCATTTGAATTTTAGTTTTGCTGCCTTTACAAGATCCTTTATGTTTATAAATTCAGTTTCTCCTCTGTGAAATGACAAAGTGTGTACCTAATAGGAGATGTTGGGAAGATGAATCAAATACATAGAAAATGTTTAGCAGAGTGCCCAGGATGCAGTAAGAGCCCAATAAATGTTAGCTGTTGTTATTACCACAGTAATAATTATTATTACATAAAAAGCTGGCACTTAGAAAATGTTAGTGTGGTCATCTCCTCTACCCCAGTCTATTATAAGTAAGAAAGATATAAGAATTATTGGGTAAAAGGTAAGATAATACTAACATACTGCTCATCAAAAGAATTGTATAATGCCATTAATAAGACACTGAATCTATCAAATTGATGACAACTGTCACCAACAGTTTTTCCTGTTATTTTCATAGGAGCAAAACAGTATCATAAGGTTCCTTCAATTTGCATTTCTTTATTACCTTGAAGGTGAACATGTTTTCATATGCTTTGTTTGCTATTTGGATATTTTCTAGTGGGAATTATTTATTTCTGCCCCATACCCACCCCGCCCCGTTTATCTTTTGTAATCTTGGTGAGTTTCTTGAAAAGTTGAATAAACTCTTTATATATTAGAAGTATTATCTACTGTATTTAATGCAAATATTTTTTTCTGGTAAGCTGGGGTCATTGAGGGTTGAGACAGATGAGGATCAATCAGAGAAAAGTTCTGTGTGTTCAGGAACATATCTGTGAGTGGGCTGCTGTCTCTTGCCATGGTGAACTCAGCCACTCTCCAGACGGTTTAACAACCATCTCTGTACATCTCCAACCTTGCACGATGTTCCAACTCTTTATTTCTAACACATCTTTGAATATTTTGTCTTTGTTGTCTTATAGAACCTTAACCCTAATCTAGCTATAATTGAACCCACTGGTTGTCCCTGCACCAATTCACTTTCCAAATGTCCCCATTTGATCCCTTACTAAGTCAAGAGATCTTGAAGCTGTTTCTCACTAAAGTGAAAAGGCTCTCTGAGTCACTCAGACAGCTTCCCAATGCACTGCCTCCCAAATTATACTCTTGAGTTGTAAGTCATTTTGGAGTGGAAAGTTTGATGCTCATGCATATCACAAAATGAATGAAGAGGCTGCCAAGTTGACACATTATCTCAGGTCTTATTTTTGCATGCCGGCATCTGCTACTGAAACCTATGAATGTGAGCCTGAAGTAGGTAAACAGTACAATCCCACGGAGATTATTTTCTAGTTCTGGATATTTGTTCATGGAGCCAACAATCAGCCAGGGGAAAGTGCTAAAAATCATTGATTTGGCCATTCAGCCCAAGTATCTACTTTCCTTAATATTTTACACTCAATAGTGTTGTATTTTGGCTTGGTAAAGTATAAAGCAAGTAAGAGGACAACCTCAATGTGCTAGACTGGCACAACAATGGGTATACAAATAGCAACAATTGTGAGAGCCCACTGGGGATGCTCCCTTCTTTTGGGGTTCTATGAGTTGGACCTAAAGACAGCTATCAAAAACTAGCAACAAAAGCAATATTTTTCAAATTCTTTGCTAATTTGGATAGTTGAAAAGTTACAGTATTTATTTTGTCTTTCTCTGTTGCTGTTTCAACTAAGACATGCATACTATGAAATGAGAACATGCGTTTTAGCCTTTCTTCTAATGCCTAGTCCAACAGCCTTTGCCATCTAAGTATAAATTTACCAAACCCAACCCACTGTCATCAAGTCAATTCTGACTTTTAGCAACCTTCCATTGGGCTTCTGAAGCTATTAATCTTAACAGGAGGAAAATACCTGGCTGAAAAAGGAACAGATGCAACACGACAGTGGCCGAGTATGACTTCTACCTGCTTCATCAAGGAGAACTGTCCCCATCAATAATGTCCACAGCATCATATAAATAGCTACATAGTCAGATATGCCACCCCTCATGCTCATATATCTATTTTTACCAATTATTGTATCCAGTGTTCATTGCAAGACTCACAGACTTTTCTCACAGTTGTGAGGTTTACTAGGAAAATAGGTTGGAGAGTGGGGGAGGCAAAGAATATTTCATTCATGTAAGTCTATATTTGTGGAAGGAGGAGTAGCATCCACTTCCATAATAGCTTGCCTCCGGAAACCCTGTGAACTTGGAGAGAGAATGAAAGGCACCCAAGCGTCGAGGACTCTCCTTCGTAGGGTCGCTATGAGTCGCCTGCGACTCGAGGCACTTAACAACAACAACAAGTCTATATTTAGACCAGCAGTACCAAGCCAGATTAACAAGGAAAAATTCTTCAATTAGTGGAAGTCTAGGTTCAGTTCAACAGCACAAATACAAGCAGTCTCATCCAGTAAACTTTCTCTTAGTGCAGTTGTAAGTCAGTTTTTCCTTTAATCATCCAGTAAGCACAGCCTTTAACTATGGCCTTTCTCTCCAGAGTTCCTCTGGTTACACCTTGCCACAGTCTTCACAATCTCTATCCCACTGTCACTGCTATCTTTCAGAGTGTGGAAAGCACTCTTTTATACTGGCCCCACAGCTGCTGATGATTTGTAAGACCATGTGTCTGCAGTTAAGGTAGTTGGAGACCATGCCCCTCCAACAAGAGCTAATGCAATAGCTAGAAAAGACCATTTTCAAGGGTTCTGACATCCTACTGTCTTTGTCCTGAAGGGCACCTAGTAGATTCAAACTTCTGGAGATGTGCAGCCATTTGATTAGCAATCATAACATGCTACAGACTATGTCACCAGAGCTCCCTAAAGTCAGCTGTAGTGAGCAACATAAACAGTTATAGAGGAAACAGAGTAAAACAAGCAGCAGACTGAACATAAAAAGTCAAGATTCTCTTGAATGAAAACAAACTATGATATTTCTAAAAGAAGCCAAATTGATAGCATCCTAAATGAGCTTCTCTTCCTCTTGTAATTTTCTAATTCTCCTCTCTATCCTCTCTAATACACATTGGATCATTTAAGACGTTCCATCCTCTAGAGAGACAAGAAACATTTCCAATAACACATAGAGCAACACAGTTTCTCAGTCTTCTGGGAATATATACTGAAGCTAAACTCCACACAGTGCTCAAATTCTCCTTCCTAGAAGTGGTTCCGTCTTTGTCCTTATCACCATGACCCTTGTTGGGGGTGGTATGAATATTTGAAACTTGTGGATGTGGGTTCTTATCGTTGTACACTTCTTTAAGGAATTTAGGGTCCAAATTCCACACAATGCCGAAGTTCTCATTCCTCATTCCCATGTGTGTTGTTGGCATATGAATCTAGGTGTGTGTGAAAGTGGACATAGTATTCTCACAAGGGCACACATTTATCTTATTTGGAGGAATGATGGACCTAATTTCTTGAAAGCAGAGTATAATGGTATAAATCCCACATTCATAATTTAAAGTATCCATTCTCCCAACAAAGATCATGTTTAGGGGAGAAGAATAAAGACACTTTTAGACCTGATGCATTCTAACTCCTACAAAAAGCAACCAGGATTCCCTATTGAAAGATGATACTGGGAAGTTTAGGAGGAGATATCTGGAAGGAGGTGGAAATCGAGAAATCACATCATCAAACAGGTGCTCACCAACAGAACGGCTTTCTAAATTCCGATAGTGCCACTGTTGGCCTGAGGGTGGTGCTGTGAGTTCTCTTCCACTGTCTTCTAGAGAAGAAAGCTTCGCTTGTTTTTCTAATGGATTCTGACTAATGGAAACCCCAACTACATCAGCGCACAACTCTGCTCCATAATGTTTTCCAATACTGATTTATAAAGACCTTAGAAGAGTCCTCGAAAGGATCAAATCTAGGCTTGGTAAGAGTCTCTTTAATTCATCCCAGAATTTTTCCTCAAACTTCCCAGCAGAAAAGATTAATTAATTTATGTCCCAGGTAATCATCTTTTTCTGGATTTCATTCATTGGTAACCAAACTCTCACCTACAACACCAGGGAGTGAGGTCAAGCATAACATTTCCAGACTTCCTTTCCAATGCACACCACACGAAAAGATCCCACCCACTCCAGCCAAGTCTGTGGGTCTCAGCTTAGGCAGGTTCACCCCACACTAGCGTGTATCTGGCAAGTTAATCGAACTCCCGCCCTCGAGGTAGAAACGTTTGATGTTGGTGAGGTGCCAGCACTCTCTGTCGGCGTAGGGTGGCGAGAAGTCTTTCTTAAATTGCTCTGGGGCTGATGGAGTGCGTGCTTGAAACTCTGGGGGATCTGGTGGGGTGTGTAAACACATGGATGCGCGCGGAGCTCACCATCAGATTCCGCCCCGCACAGCGACTGGCCCAAGTCCCCTGGCAGCCAAGGTGTAAGGTGAGCACTACGCCACCCACGTGTCCCAGCCCCGGGCAAGCAGCCGCCTGTGATCCATGAAAAACAGGGGCCTTGGAATGATCCAGCTTGGCCAAGTTTAGGCCTTCCTCTCCTTTACGAGCCAAGTCCGTCTGGGTGCTGATCTATAAGGAGCAGCAGGCACCCCAAACTCTTTTAAGAAAGCCGCTCAGCGGAGATGTTCGAGTTCCCCGGCCGGAGTGCGCAGCCCCAGCAGGTGCAGCACCAGGCTCCACGCTCGGCCCACGCACGCGCCCCGGGGAAGCCGCGCGCCCCGCGCCCCCGCCGTACCCAGGCGCAGAGCAGAGACCAAGTACCTGATCCTCTCCTTCTCTGTCCTTTGGAGTTCCTCATTTCTTTCCAGCACGTGCAGGATCTTCCTGGCTTCTTCGTCATTTAGGAAACTGAAATCAAACCCGTGAGGAACTTTCGTCATTTTCTCTACGGCATGTGAGTTACACTTAAGCTCCTGGGCGCGTCCGGTTACGATGGCATTTTTCAAGATCCACAAAACTAGTTTCAAGAACCTGATCCCGTAGCTAATCATAAACCCGCCCCTTTCAAAATCTAAAACTATAAACCTGGGGAATGGCCCACACCTACAGGGCTCATCTTGACAACTACTTAATGACATGATTCTCCGAACCTGTCCAACCGAGACGCAAAATGCACGACTAAAGTAAGAGAGCGAGCCAATCCAGTGCCAAGGAGGCGGGCCTCCCGCGGACCCGCCCTTCCCCTCCCCCACCCATAGCTGACTCGTTCGGCAAACAAGCCAACGTACTTCTGCTCTTAATGAGGCTGAAGACTCCAAAGTACGTGTTTGTCTTGGCTATTCCTGTCCCCGTAGTGAATTTGGGCTTCACTGGTATGAGCGAAAAGGAAAGAGTTGTAGGCTTAATCTTCCCTTTAAATATTTAAGAGACCACAAGAAGTAAAATTGCGTATCAGAGGTTTTCAACTGGAGCATTATCCTATCAGAGATCAGAGGAAGCACTGAACTTAATACCAGAACGCTTGTGGGCAGACCCAGGAGCAGGGCAGGCGTTAGTCCTTGGAAATGAATGCTTTGCCAAGCTCCCCATGCCTGTCTCAGATCCTTTCTCCTCATACTGTCCCACAAAACCCAGTCTCGGACTTTTTTGAAGGGGATTTTAAGATGTAAGAACAAGTCAGCTCTGGGGCAAAAGGATGGTAGGCAGCACTTTGTAGTAAGTCGGGTATGAAAATGATAGTTAAGTATTTCAGCAAAAAAGCCTATGAAGGACAATATAAAGAACCCAATATGATTTGTAAATTTTCACTTAAAAAAGATACTTCATTAAAAATACTGTATAAGAAAAAGAAAAATAACTAGTGAAACAGATATGAGAATCCAAGGACAGGAGCAGAGGTAATCTTAGGGTCGCACAATTTGATGGGTAGAAGGAGAGTTGGGTAAAGGAAATGGGAAATAACCGGTGTAAAAAACAATAAATACAAACTTTGTAAAGCAGTATAAAGTAAAAATTTTACTTAAAAATTTTATAAATGCATAAAAATAAACATTAAATAAGTTGAAATAGAGAAATAATACTTACTACTTTTCACATATTACTACTCTAAAGAAAATGTGATTCTGTGGAAACATTGAAAAAGCTTTTCCTCGAATATCAATCATTCCCAGATGTAGCTAATCATAAAATTGGATAAAATGTAACACGTTTATGTATATATTGTACTTGGTTATTCATATTGGCAGATTCATTTGTTTGAATCTACAACCATGGTAGGAGCAGTCATGAAATCAGATGATTGGCAAGATGCCACAAAAGAATGCCTTAAAATGTTAAAAAGCAAAGATGTCCTTTCACAGACTAAGGTTCACCTGATCCAAGCCAAGGTATTTTTAGTCACCTCATGGGCAAGTGAAAGCTAGATAAGGAATAAAGAAGACAAGAGAACTGATGTTTTTAAGTTATGAATATAAGAATATCGAACATACTGTGGTCAGACAGGGAAAAAAAATAGATTCGTCTTGGAATAAATGCAACCAAAATGCACCTTAGAACTGAGGATGGTAGAATTTGATCTCATGTGCCTTGGTCAAGTTATTAGGAGATACCAATCCATAGAAAAGGATATCACGCTTGGAAAAGTAGAGATTTGGTGAAAAAGAAGACCTTCAACAAGATTGACACAGGGCTTATAACACTGGGCTCAGTACTGAATATCCCATGAACTGTCAAAAGAACAAACAGTTATGTCTTGGAGAGGTGTAGCCAGAGTGCTCCTTGGAGGCAAGCCTTCATCTCACTTACTCTGGGCAAGTTACTAGCAGAAACTATTCCTTGGAGAAGGGACGTCATGTTTGGAAAGATGGAGGGTTGGTGAAAGAGAGGAAGACCCTCCATCAAATGGATTGACAGAGTAACTGCAGCAATGGGTTCAGTGTGTCAGGGATGTTGAGGATGGGACAGGATATGTCAGGGATCAGATCTGTTGTTCAAAGGGTCTCTGTGAATTGTTATCTACTAGCTGGCACCTAACAATAATAAACATTTAAACAATTGTGTGATGACTCAAGAATGAGTAGTGTTTCATTCTATTATGTATAGAGTTGGTACAAATTTAAACCAACTTGACATTACCTAACAACATATGTTGTTGTTATGTGCCATCGAGTCACTTGCGACTCATAGTGACTCTATGTACAACAGCCCTAAACCATGCTCTATCCCTTGCCAATGTTATTGTCTTCAACACGCCTATTCCCATTACCCCAATGATTGAATCAATCCATCTCATCGAGGATCTTCCTCTCCTGCGCTGTATCTCCACTCTCCCAAGCATGGTGTCCCTCTCTAAAGACTGGTCCCACCTTGTACCATGTCCAAAATATGTCAGAATGAAGCTTCAGAATTTTGCCTCCAAGGAGCAGCCTGATTTAACCCTCTCCAGGATGAACTTGTTTGTTCTTCTAGCAGTCTATGATATATGTGTGTGTGTATATATATATATATGTATATATATATATTTATGTAGGATTAATTTATAGAGAAATCATCAAATCTTTTTCTGGAAAACATATTACTTCTCTTAGTTTCACTTCTCACACAAGTTTGATCGATTTTTCTACATCATTACCCTAACTTGATCACTAATATTTACTAGCATTTAAAATGTATTCCACTTGTATTCTCTCTCCTTATGGCAAATAAAAACCATAGTGATTTTGTTTCTGTAACAACATTATATAAAGAATGGTTATTTGTATCTTGGCCTCTGGGCCTTCTAGACATCTTGATCATCATTATTTCAGACATGTCCAGGCAGCTGGCTGTTCAGCATTCCGTGGGTGCATGTTTGTTATTTGTATAATGCAGGAAATCGTTCTGTTCAACAACCTTGTACACAGAGAACAGCTTTATAAATGTTCAGTGGGTCAATAACAGTGGTTTAGAAGTATGTAGTGCATGTGGTATCCAGTATTTCTACATATTAATGTGTTAATTGATTAACTGTGAAGCCTCTATAAGACTTGTCATTGAAGGCACTATTGGCTTTTTACCATATATCATTAACTTGCCTTCTGTAACATACACTGGTGCCTGCTGCACAACTCGGGTGCTCCTTGGAGACAAGGCTGGTGAATCTTTGTCTCACATATTTTGGGCATGTAATGAATGGCTATTCCCTGGGAAGGAACATCATGCTTGAGAGGTAGAGAGCCAATGTAGGAGAGGAAAACCCTCAACAAGATAGGTTGACACAGTGATGTAACAGTGGACTCAAGCATATCGGAGATGAAGAGGATGGCACAGGGCAGGGTAGGGTTCAGATCAGTTGTTCATAGGGTTAAGCTATGATTTAGAGTTGACTCGATGTCATAGAACAAGAGCAGCAAAAACACATGTATGAAGACATTTTACACTATAAACAAGATGATCTTCATAAAATTTATAAGCCAGCAAGGAATATCCACATTTAGAAAAACGACTGAATGACAAAGAAGAGGAGAAGCCTTGGTGGCACAGTGTATTATAAACAGAATAACCAGAGGTTGGAGCCACCAGCTGCTCTGCAGGGCACAAGTGGACAGTCTCTTCCTGTAAAGATTGACAGCCTTGGATGCCTTCTGGAGAGTCATCATGATTTGGAAGAGACACAATGGCAATGGGCTTGGTCTGGGCTAACAAGAATATGAAAGGTGTGTAAAGAAAATGCTAAGAGAGCACACAGAAAAAGTAGTTCAGTGGAGGAAATCAGAGGAGGGGAAACAGTATTTATCTGCAGCTTGAAAGGTCAGATTTCAACAGGAAGAAATAGGAGAGCATGGGGGAGGAGGTATGTGTGTCTAGGCTAGGCGGTGGGAACAATGTGCTGAACAGCAGAAGTACATTCTAGGAATGTCCTCATACTCCCTCAACGCCTCTGATCACAAATGCAGAATCTAGAGAATACAGAGAAATACTGAGAGGTCAGTGAGTAATTTGCAGGAGTGTTGAGCATGCATTCCCAGTAGGGACAATAGTGTTTCTAAAGGGCAATGACTGGATCTTGGGAGTGAAAAAAACCCCAGCCTCTTTTTTCTAACATATGAAAATATCAAATATTTTCTAACATATGACTCCTTAATTTTGCACAGTATCCAAAGTTGTGATACAATAAATTTCTTTTTTTTAACTTTTAAAAAAGGATTTATTGTAATCATTTCAAAATTTCCCAAGTAAATTCTTATAGATTTCTATTCTTATATACTTCATTTTTATAACAAAATGTAAAGTGAAAATGAAGTTAATGATTTATGTCAGTGATTGGCTTCTTTAAGAGATACATACTTAAAATCTACTACATGGTAAGACTTCTATGTTAGATATATATATATATTTCAATATAAATATCAACAAAGATTATCAACTGATAATAGCATCAAGATAGAGACTGGGATTGTTAATAATTCTGTGTTACTCTGATTTATAATCAACATTCATAGTACTATCACTCAGTAAATCAAAAGACAAATTACTTTGGAAAAGTCTGCTGTTAACGAACAATTATTTCAGTCAGAGACTAAGATGTGCCTGATAAAGGGCATTATCTTCACAATTACTTGCTATACATCAGAGAGCTGAACAATGATTAAGGATCAGAAGAAGAAACAATGCTTATGCGTTCTGATGCTGGGGAAGAATATTGAATATACCGCGGACTACCAAGAAAACAAACAGGTCTGTCCTGGACAAAGTGACACCAGGTTGCTCCTTGGAGGCAAGGATTACAAAACTTTGTCCCACATACTTTGGGCATGTTGCCAGGAGGGAACAGTCCTTGGGGAAGGACATCATGCTTAGAAGAGTGTGTAGTGTGAGTGCAAGAGAGGAAGACCCTGGATGAGATGGATTGACACAGTGACTGTAGTGAGGGAGGCATGATGTTGGAGACAGTGAGATTGGC